ATACCAGCAGGTTTGGCGCGCGGGGGAGCGGTGCGTTATGCTGTTCGTCCCAACTTCCCCCGCCCGCCAACAATCACTACTGTGCGCTAGGCCACGCCCCGTCCAGGCGCTCCCAGCCCCATAAACAATATACACTTAACACTCCTCCAAGCCGTCCAAGCCTGGCCTGAAGGTGGCCCAGGCGAGAGCACAGGGCACCCGAGGCCTCGACCCCAACGACGAGCACCTCTGGTAGCTCGGTCTATCGCTCGTCCACAGTGAGGGCGATCACAACAACGCCGCTCGCCCAACAACTGCCTGGTCTCACAAGGGAACTCATAAAGTGTTAGTCCCCGACGAGGTCCCCGATTTTGTTCCGCCTTGGGGGTTTTGTAGGGTCAGCGTCAGCAAAGACGAACGACATCAACGCATAAGGCCGTGAATCTCAGAACAATTGTCGTAACTCTGGTTCAAGAACGCAATAACGCATTTAATTCCTAACAATAATTTTGTACTAGCTTTATTTCTTTTATTGGGATGGTCTATTTGTTAACATGAAATGTTTTATGCGAAAAGTGTGGAAGACTAAGGTATATAATTAACAGTTATTTTTACTACATTTTTTAAAAATTTGGATCGTCTATGTGTTAACACAAAGTGTTAACGTTTTTTTCTATTATGAACATACCAACTGGATTTTTAAGCTTACCACCCTCTGACTGGCCAAGTCATGCCGACTACCAGGCAGGCTTAGAAATCGTGCAAAGTCTGCACGTTGTGAATGACGTCAGTGAAAGGGCAGTGAATCTCACCACAGAGTACAACGAAAGTAAGCTGACCAAGTCAGAAGAAAGCTTTCAAATTTGCTACTGGTACAGTACTCTTCATCTAGAATCGTATTATACCTTATTAGTACTTAATAACTACAAATTTATTCGTACTTATTGCAGGTGATGCACAAAATCCGACAAGAAGACTCAAAATCCTCATTAACCTTACGGCATTATGTCAAACCAGAAATAAAAACATGACTAGAGTCGAAAATCAACGTCACATTCATTGCGATTCCCTGCTTTCCGCTTTGCACTCCCGTTTGAATCGCGCGGGCGCCGCGCCGCTCCGCGCCATCCCGCTCGAGCTCCCTACCCTCCGGCCATGGTTCCCCCACCACCGCTCCGGCGGGCTGGCGGCTGGCGCGCAGCGCCACTGTTCGAACGACGCACGGCCCGGCCGCGGCATGTTTCACACCATTTCGCGGTGTTCGCGTTTCCGCTACCTGGCACCGGGCACATATTTAGGAAGGGCATGAGGTGGCCTTTCTATCCGTGAAAGAAAAAAGTATGGTTCTCGTCGCTACTTCCCGCAAAATGAGAGAACGTCGACTGCGACGTTTAGGCCCCTGGAGACGCCCGGTCAGTCGTGAGCTCGGACTCGCCATGTCGGATGTGAAGTAGGACCCATAGGGTCACAGTTCAGACCCGAGCCGTCCCCTCTGACCCCACCGTGTCAGCACGGCAGAGCCGACAAGGTGTCATGTCGGCGCGCGTCAATTTCGAGCCCGCTCGGAAAATCGCGATGCGGGTCGGGTAAACGTTATCGCACAGGGCCCAAACTTTGCACAGGGTCTCTACTAGGTCTAATCTATCATTAAATGTGCGTACCTCCGAAATCGCTGACTTCGAGTACCAAAATGAGATGACCTAGTGTCCGTGCCGCAGGCCTAGCTATATGTACGCCTCACCACGTGTCGCGTAACAGGCCGCGCGATATCTCACGAAACACTGTTACGCTGCGGCGCGCCTGGCGCTCATATAGCTAGACCTACGGCGCTGACACCCGAGGCGAGTTAAGGAGAGGTTTGTAAAGTTATGTCGATTCTATTGAAGTAATTAAATTTTATGTTTATTTCGTAACTTAGTTCAACAGAGGTTAAAAAGGTAGCATTTTCAGTAAACCACCGCCTCATAAACAGATTACAGGAATTACCTAATCTTCATTGTATAGTACACCCAGCACAGCAGGGTCTTGTCACAAGTACTTTGCCTAGGCAAAAGGGCATTTTGATGAGTACAGGACAGGAAATCAAGAGTTTTTCTTTTCCTTGAAGTGTAGAACTCTGATTCTTGTGAAACGTTCTTGTGACACAAATTTTACTCGTGTAGAATTAAGAACAATGCAGGATTGATTTTGAAATGATTTTGTTTCACAAGGAGGGCTCACAGACTAAATTTAAATGACGGAGCAAAAACGAAAGAAAATTAAATCCTGTTTTTCGCATATGTGAGATGCTAGCATCAAGGCTGGTAAGGTCAGGTAACGTCTCTTTTCACTCAAGGGGGGTTCATATGTGGACCGTTCAAAAAAATTATGAAAAATGCTGTTCATAGCGTTCTGGGAACGGGAATCAGACCACGGGTCCCAGAATGGCGCATATTTTAACAGATAATACTTCAGATGTTAGTTGTGCCCTAATAACGCCTATAGGGGGTGTGTCAAAATAAGAGGCAACCGTGGTGTCAATACGCGTGGCGTCGGCGTGCTCGGAGGGTTCCCAATGATGCAATCGGGTGCCCGGACAACGACGCCGACGACCTCGGGACTACCAGGTTCGCAGACAGCGTGTCTGAAAACCTCCAGTTAAATTTGAGGTGAATCGGAGATGTCATGGGGGTGTCATCGGCGTGCTCGGGACGGGAGGTCCCCGATGACGCCCCCAGGGTCCCGCGTGACCTCGGCACTGAGAGATTCGAACTCAGAGTGCCCGAAAACCCCCTGATGTCAATTTTAAGCTAGTTTTAAGTCGTTCTAGTTCTCAAGTTGCGGTCGGTCCGGTTGGGTGACCCGCCTCTTCTTTTGACGCAACCAGGGGCAGACAACGGTGCTGGGTGTGCACTGGGAGTGTGTAGCAACCTAGCCGGTGAATTCCCTCCGGAAGTTTCACTCTGAAATGAAATAATCAGAGAAAACTGAGACAGGCCAAAAAACGTCCTCCGCCATCTTGGGTTTGTTTCGGCACATACGCCCTACAGCCTAAACGTGTGTTTGCAAGCGGTGCTCGGAACTACGTCAGTCTTCTCTCGGGGCGTAGAAGTACGTGTCTTTGCGTTGTAGGTATCGAAGTCTCAATAGAATGTTTTCTCTGAATCAATAAAAAATTCTAGCATCCCCCAGCGAATGGAATTTTTCCATTGATTCAACCGCTATGGCGTCAATTCAACCGAACCCTTCCCTGGGTGCAGCCTTTGTTAAGTCCTAGTGCCGTGTCTTGGAGTACGCAGCGTGACAATGTAAAAGCTGTACCTACTGTTCCGACCTTAGATGTACTTCATAAATTACGTGTTATTCGTGGTTCACTTAAATTCTATATAAGGGTAAAAGTGACTTTAACTGAATTAACCTTTAATTAGTAAAACCTTAAAAGTACCATTTCCAAAGAGATAGTCCATATGTCGGACTGCAAATTCCAGCATTCTTCTTGAGGCAAATATGTTGCTGTGTGACCCATCCGCTGAATTAACTGAGGCGGCATAAATGTTGTCCTCACTATCTTGGGTCATTGTGATGACTCGGTTTTGACGCCTTTAAATTTCTGATAGCTCCTACAATGTGTCAGGGGGCTCAGGGTAGATGGACCTCCTTGCCCTTTGCAACGATGGCCGCATTCGAGCCAGAGTGACCATGCATTTCACCTCAATATATCTGCCATAAAAATTGAAAATGTTTTAACCTAAGCAGGACTCTAACGGAACACCCTCGTACTTACGGCCGTCTTTCCTGAATAATAAGATCTCGCAAACACACATACTTCACTGTTCGACTCCTTTCAGGAATTCTGTGGTGAAGCTCTCTCTCTGAGCAAGCTCATGGATACCTGGGGGGTGGTAGTGGATCTCCACCTTTCTGATGAAACAACGCCCAACAGCATAGATGGACCGCCTGCAGCACTGTCTTCCCTCATACTTCTCACATTTGAAGTCAAATGTCCTGTCCACTCCGGGCCTTCCTCGATATTTTTGGTAAACATACCAATCGTTAATATGGTAAACGAAAGTATCTGGTGGTGTATCTAGTTGTTTAGCAGGTAATCAATGCCAAAGCACCGCCATAGTCCGGGCGTCGCGCCGCACACCTACTGACTGACCGAAAAACTGACAACAATCTTGGTACTAAAAACTGCATAAAAAAAAAGCAGGCACGCCCTTCCGCCAAACGCAGTTGCCAGCCTCACTTTCGCTCCGCAGGCAACTCCGTTCAGCAGGCGCCGGGCCTGCTTCGCCTGCCGGCGGCGTTTGCAACAAGCAGGCCCGCCCTTCCGCCAAACGGAGTTGCCAGCTCCACTTCGCTGCGCCGGCAACTCCGTTCGGCAGGGGCCGGGCCTGCTTGGCCTGCCGGCGGCGATGGTCGGGCCTTCGGCCCGACCATTTCAGTCTCGCGATTTACTGAAGTGCATCATCAAATAAATAATGTGACCGGTAAATCACTTTGCATATTTGAGTAAAAATAAAGCGTCCTGTGGGGGGCCTGCGGCCCTAGAAATTTGCTCCTTGGACATGACAAAAGACTGTAACGGGGCAACACCGTGACTACACCCCACCCTTCTGCGTTGCTTACAAAATATTAACCCACGCAGTTTCTAGATTGTATATTGTTTGTCAAACAGTCTTAAAACTTGACTTTTTGCCATTGTTTTCAATATTTCCACCTCTAAGGCCAAAACAGTGAAAGATACGGCAAATCCGAGGGTAGTTTCTGATTCAGAATGTGTTGTTTTGAGGGGGGCACTCCCTCTGACATTTTACGATTGGACGCCTCCTTGTACGTCTTTATGTGCAACGTGGTCATTTTCGCCGTATTTTCGTCGTAAAAAGCACTCTAGCGCCCAAACGGTGCAAGATAGAGTCAAACGGACAAAATTTTCGCCCAGAGGACTCTACTTTCACGAGTTACCCGTTAGAAGACCATAAAAAAATTTTTTTTTCCTAGTCTTTGGACCAACCCCTATTTCTTTGTTACCCCCTTTCACCTCCTTAGGGGTGGTTGCCAGGATTTGCACCAGGCGTTTCGTTGTCCAGGAGTGACCCCTAAGATACCCTGAAATTTGTAGACATCTAGCTCATCTCCTTCCTCTTACACGGACGACGGACAGACGGACGGACAGACAGACACGAGAGCGGTTGCATAAGCCCGCTTTAATGCTTTTTGAAAAGCAGAAGGGCGGGCTAAAAAAAGGGGTTACTTCCCCACCATTTCGGCCCATGATAGTGGCTCATCGCATCACATCCAGCTATATCTTGTGTGCCATGTCTTGTCCATTCTCATTTTCAGCTCCTCCTCAGGTGTCATTTTCCTGTGCTTGCCACTGCAGTGCTCCACCAAATGCAACCTGTGTGCCTCTGAAGTCCTGTCGGTCTCTCTCGGCACAGGCTGCACATTAAGAATCTGCAACATATGAAAGAATGATATTAGCAACACGTCGATAACGACCAACCAACAAAAAACACCGCTCATACAGTGAACGTTGAATCAAATACACTGTGAACTCACCGGCGAAAAGGGGTGCGTGCGTGCCTTGCGCTCTGCACGGTTTGGAGTCGCAGGGACCGATCCTTTCTTCCTTGGGGGTTCATCCTCATCCCCTTCGTCGTCCTCTTGCGCCTGCATCTGTTTCCTCTTCGATTTCGTTAGGTACCTGTCACGCACCGACATGAAGAGCGTGTTTGTAGCACCCAGTCGCCTCTGGTCCTGCCTAACTGACTTCCGCTCAACCTTGAACGACGACTGCGACTGCAATTTATCACGCCAGTACCTCTGCAGAGAACAATCATATTTCGTGACGAGGGCGACGGCCGGCGCGTCCCACTCGCCTCTGTACACTATCCTGCAATCGCAAACAAAGACATTAATTGCGTTTTTCTACCCCTATCTCCCACTCCCACCCCTCTCCTTCCTCACTCGCATATGGTGACAAAGTACCCACAAATCTGTTGCAACCTCCTGCATCTTGTTGCGGATTGCCTTGATTACTTTTACCTTCTGCTTGTGGTTCAGTGGCACCTGGTGATCCAATGCAAGCTGCACAACCGCGGGACACTTCGGAAGTTAAAAATTAAAATCGATCCTGCCCAAGGCGGGATCCCGCCGCCTGTTCCAGGCCTCCGACAGCTCAGGGCTTGCCACTGACGTACTACTTCTGCGTCCCCAGGAGTCACTCCCGCCAAACCTGCAACAGAAATTTCCTTCACTCACAACCACGTACAATAAAAACATACACCTCCCAAATTCTGCAACTCACGTTCTGGTGTCAGAAAGACGTCGGCTTCATCCGGCAGGTTGAACAGGTCCTGCATGGTCAGCGCAAAGCGTTAGTAGTAAGAGGGGCCCATTCTGCTGGTCGGCCATCTTGGATCCCATTCTGCCGGTCGGCCATTTTGGATCCCATTGTGCCGGTAAGCAAAGCCGATCTTATAAGGCCCTAACATAACCTAACCTAACGAAGGGGTGGGTCTTTTGAGCCCCTAACATAACCTAACCTAACGAAGGGGTGGGTCTTTTGAGCCCCTAACATAACCTAGATCTTATCATCCCCTAACTTAACCTATCGAGGATTGGCTGAGGGGCGTAAGTGACGGGGCCTAGCCCATCGAGGATTGTCGGAGGGGGTGGGTCTTATCAACCCCTAACATAACCTATCGAGGATTGACCTAAGGGCCTAAGGGATGGTGGCGTAACCTAACCCATCGAGGATGGAGGCTACACGTTCGCACAAGTTCGGGGGTGCGACGGGTCTCAACCTGGAGCCGCCCCTGCGACGGGTCTCAGCCTGGACCCGCCCCTGCGACGGGTGTCAACACGTACGCCTGGACCCGCCCCTGCGACGGGTGTCAACCTGGTCCCGCCCTTGGACGAGGTATGAACACGTTCGCCTGGACCCGCCCCTGCCGGGAGGTGGGCGGGGTGGACTCTCACCAGGTCTGAACACGTTCGCCTGGATCCGCCCCTGTGGGGGAGAGGGTCGTTGGGATGCGAGTAGATCGGGTAAGTGAGCGTTTCGAATTTGAAATTTCGCGCTGCGCTCCGCGCGCCCTCTAGCGCCCAGGTGGCGCGGGCCGGAGGCGGCAGTTACCGTGGTTACCGGGGGTGGAGGGGGGCGGCGGCGGCGGCGCCGCCGCCAGCGCCCCGCCGCTCGTCACAACGCCCTGTGACTTCGCCCTGTGTTGCGCAATCCTCTCTCTCGGCAAGCCAATGGACCTCATCAAAGCAGCGTATGGAGGAGGGGACTCCTCATTAGAGGACGAGTCCTTCGTTTTAAGGCTGTCTGACAGTGCGTTAGAAGAAGATATCAATCTGGTAAGTACAGTGATATCCTTGTGTTCGCCGCCATGCAGTTCCTCGAGTCCGATCGTTGTCGCCGTGAAGCTACCGAAGTTCGTTATTTTTTCGCGCGCCGAATCTGCTGGTGAGTCTGTGTTATACATACTAGCACTTTGGTGTTTTGTGTGCGCTGTTTCTTAAGCTTGCACCTTTTTCTAGAATCACGAGTGCTTATGTATCGCAGTCCGTTCTTTTCTTGTGTGCACCTAACCTAGAAGCTTGAGCTCACGTTTCTCGCGCTCGTGCGCTGTAAATACTTCTCTATGCCATGTTTTCTCATGATTTCTGTCTTTTTAATGTACGAATTGTGTATGAGCGAGTGTGATTTTCTTGTGGCGCGGGTGCCTTAACCTCTCTTGCTTGGCGCTTCGCGCCAAACCTGTTGCTGTGCTCTTGTGTGTGATTGCGTCATAGCTCGGTGAATGCTCAAATCATAAAATTTCGTCCATTTATTTGCTGATTTCACTTGGCGTCGCGGTGGGCGTCCGTTTTGGGCCCCGCCAGAATGGCTCGCCACGGGCCTTTGTTCTTTCCCGCTCTCGTCCCTCGTCCCTCGAGCGTTCGCAGATGGCTGAGAGAAAGGAGGTGATGCAATCGGCAAATGAATGGTTGAATTTTGGCTTAAAATAGTGATCGAAACGATTTTGTGTCATTCCCTGCGTCGCAACACGTCTGTTCCTGTCGGTGTTGGTCGGGGGAGGGGGAGGGAGGGAGGCGTCTTCTCGGAACTCGCCGGCACGAGCGTGGGAAGGGAGCACCGCTGAGCGCTCGCCTCGGCGAGGCCCTGATTCGTCTCGAAGGACATCGGTGTCCTGGTGGGCAGTGCACCCACCCTCTCGTCGTGATCCTGGAGCAGCTTGCGCCCGACGTCGGCGAGGGCAGTCAGCAGTGAGGCCGCGGGAAAGGGGAGGGCGGCCGGGGCTCGGAGCTGGTGCGCCTGATGGTGCTCCTCGGGGAGTCGTTCGTCGCGTCGTCTCGTCCTGGTGCAGGTCGTGCCCGTGCAGAGGGTCGTGTGCTCGCCCTGGCTGAGCACCGCGTCGACGCCCTGGACCTGTGTGCGGCTCGCGCATGGCCGTCCTCGTCGTGAGTCTCTCCATCGCGCGCGGTGCTGCGCCTGGCGCCGTGCCTGACGTCCGCGGTGTGTGCGTGTGTGAGTGCATGGGCATGTGTGCGTCGCGCGCCCTACCGTTTTGGGCGTGCACACGTGTTGAACAGAAACTAACATCCGTTTGTGACCGTCTTTTTCAGGAGTATGACATGGTGGTTGTTGGGCCACAGGCCACCTCGACCCCGTTGGTGAACGCCCAAGCGTCGCCGGCGAGCCCACCACCCCCGCCTCCGCCGAGCCCGGAGGCTGTTGTTGTTGCCGTCGCTGTGGCCGCGCAGGAACCGGCCGTAGAGGTGTGTGTTTGTCTGTGTGTGTGTGTGTGTGTGTGTGCGCGCGCGTTCAGCTCCTAACGCAAGCTCTTCATGTTGCAGGCGTGCGTCAGGGTGCCAACTGCGCCGGTGGCGCCACCTACCCCTGCAGCACGGGCCCCAGTGGCGAGTGCACCCTTAAACCCTTGCTACGCCTTTTTGCCGCCGCCCGAAGTCCAAGGCCAGCTGGAGGACGTCGTTGCTGCGATCCCCGCACCCCCCGCACCGGCCCAGGCCCAATTGGTGAGTTTCAATGCTCTTGTAAGGGTTGTAACTTGTGTTGAGGTGAAAGACCAATGGTGTATGTTCTCGATTACAGATTGATCCATTGCCCATGAGGGGTCGCGGTGGCCGGGGAGCCCGTGGTGGGCGTGGAGGTGGTGGCCGGGGAGCCCGTGGTGGGCGTGGAGGTGGTGGCCAGGGTGGCCATGGAGGAGCCCGTGGTGGTGGGCGTGGAGGTGGTGGCCGGGGAGCCCAGGGTGGCCATGGAGGAGCCCGTGGTGGTGGGCGTGGAGGTGGTGGCCGGGGAGCTCAAGGTGGCCATGGAGGAGCCCGTGGTGGTGGGCGTGGAGGTGGTGGATGGGGAGGCCAGGGTGGGCGAGGAGCCCAAGGTGGCCATGGAGGTGGTGGCCGGGGAGCCCAGGGTGGGCGAGGAGCCCAAGGTGGTCATGGAGGTGGTGGATGGGGAGGCCAGGGTGGGCGAGGAGCCCAAGTTGTGCGTGGCGGCCGAGGCCGAGGCCTCCGGTTTGGGCGTTGGGTATGGAGCAGGGGGTTTTGGTAGCTCTTTTGTATTTTTTAAAGTTTTGTATTTTCCATAAATAATCATGTGTCATGCATCTACTTGTTATCATTCTCCTTACTTGGAAGCAATTCCTATCCTTGTACAATTTTGACGAACTTGATGTGACGATAAATTTTATTTAAAGATTG